TGTGAGAACCTCCAAATCATTTGGGATACTGAGACTTATTTTGGTATCATGTCAAATGAGAGTTGCATGTGATAATATTTAGCATGAGGTGCTCTTAACTTTGATATAAGGAATTGATTTATAGCATGGGCCCTTTCTCTTCCCTGTGCATACCTTGCTTCTGCTGTGGGGAAAATGGACAGATTGCTTATTGCTTGGGGAGATCTAGGCATGGTGAAGGCAGAATAACAACAAGGCTGAATATTTAAAAATTAAGTCAAACTGTGCAGGGCCAGCTGAACCAGAATAGGCACATGATTAGTCTCTTGCATATTGTGGTAGTATTAGTGTCTAAAAACTTTGGTACTGTGGATGCTTAGAGTCTTGATAATTACCACAATATTCTTAGTATTTTCCACCATTAGAACATAAGCATCTTAGACCTATTTAAAATAAAAAGATCATTGATTCCCAGCTTTGCCTTGTACCTGAAGCTTGGTGTTCAAATTCTGCTGGATCCTGAATCAGACTCTTCTGATTACCTCCGTCTGACGTAATTTGTTCTTTTCTGATGCAATTTTACTTTCACTCCATGTGCTACACTTTTATTTTGCTATTGCCTTATTTGTGGAAGGGGAATGTGAATAAATTTATGTATATTAGAATTTTGTTTCACTGTGATTTCATTAGGTCAATGAATATCCTATTCTCTCTTATTTACTGTATTTTTCAAAGGTATTAATGCTTTGCTTGAATTGCCTAAAAATTGTGTTGTGGCAGCTGTTGGCAGAGAGCTAAGTATGTTGCATTTCTGTTAAATCATCTTTTGTAATGGGCTCCTTCTCAGAGATGTGTGTGCAAACCATGCTGCTGGAATTGCATAGCTGAAGTAGGTGGTATCGGGCTGTGATCAGCAACTTCCTTCCCTTCTCCCTCACTTGACTGACCAGCAGACCATTTCCTCCAGGAGTTTCCTTGACATCTGCAGGTGTCAAAAACACTTATGTTTTGTTACTACTGTTGTGCCACCTGTCCAGGTCAGATTGTGGACACCTGTGTTTCTCTTTCTGGAGAACATCTGGAGCTCGTTATCTGAGCTGTCAGATTATTTCCCCAGTTTCACACTGCTTTTAGTAGGCTTCCCTAGAGCATCCTCATCCTGCCAATGAAATAATACCAAGAATATAGTGAGACAGTGTGATGCTTTCTCATGCTCACATGGAGAAGGGCTTTTCTAGATATAAAAACTGTGAATCTTTTGCTAGTTGTCAGTGTGGAGGGTCTTTGAAAATGAGAATATTTTTATGAAAGCATTCAAAGATCAGCATATGGGAAACATTCCAGGAGGTAAAGTATACACTGAGTCGACAAAACACCATATTTTGATTAATATGTCTAAATACTTAACAATCTGGTGTTCAGATCAAAGAATTGTGAGCAAAATAAAAATAGACTTCTTGTGTTTAGATTTTGATATTGAATGTAAACCTTCATTTGAACTTCCCATGGTTCTTTCATAGTCCCCCTTTTTTGCATAAAAGATATTCCAAGATTTGTTAAAATAATCTTTAATTCCTAAAAAAAGATGAACCTTAATCCCAATGGACTTAATCTAAAAATTAATGTGTTTAAAATTAAACATAACTGCTCTAAACATTTCTACTCTGAATGATAAAGCCTAATCTGACATTTTTTTTCTGTCTATCTCTGAAGTAATTTTCAGGTTGATTGAGAGACCTGAAGGTTGGAATGTCCTTGAAGTAAAACGCCTTGATGACCATCAGGATAACATCTTGTCGTTGGTCAGTGTCAATGGTAAGATTGGAGACTTAGTAGTAGTGTGGGTAGTTGTCGGTGGAATATTTCGGCCTTGGTGTTTTTGTTGTCACCACACCCATAACTGGAAGGAAACTTCCTAACTGGTACATGAGAACTTTCCCGTGTAGCTACAAAGATAGTGGAATGTAGACATGTAATGGCTTTGCCTGTGTATTAGTGGTGAGATGAAACCAGGCAGATTATGGTTTATAGCTAGCTCAAAAGAGGCAACGTGAGTGACAGAAATAGAACTTCAGCTGGTCTTCCTGTTGGGAAAGGTGTTTTTTTTTGTTTTTTGTTTTGTTTTTTGTTTTTGGTTTTTTTGGGTTTTTTTTTGTTTGTTTTCAATATCTGAAATTTAATATATACAGCCATGTCTCTTTGCAGTTGTAGCCCTAGCTAACTGAAAGTTCTGTGTCTGAGGACGTGGAGCTGCATGTACATCCACTCTGGAAGCTGATGTAACCTGAAACTGCCTCCTAGGGCACTACTGACCCTGAGCCCTTTTAACATTTCCTGTGTCTGCCCTGTTACAGGTTCCCCTTCTGCTTTGAGATCTTCTCTTTCTTTGGAGCTTCCTATGAGTCCAGGACAGGTTATTCCCTGTGGGATGGAGAGGATACATTTGTCCTTGGCTTTTTTTTTTTTTTTTTTTTTTTTTTTTTTTGTGTCAGCCAAGTTGACAAAGGGACAGGGAGGACCACTAGAAAGAAGGCTTCTTTTTGGTAGTTCTATGATAGTAGGTGTTGAGGTTTCCAGTGTTTCCGTTATTCTTGTTTTGATTACCAGAGGGAAACAATGTTTGATTTTTAAAAAGGCAATGTGCTATCTGCTCTGTTGCTGGAGCAGGTTCTTTCTGTGTGGGATTAACATATTCACAGGAAGCTACTTCAGTCCTGCTGTTAACTTACCTCACTTACCTCTCAGTTTCTGATCTGTGTTTCTGACAATGGCAAAGATGTACTTTGTTGTACCCAAGAGCTGCTGACCTGCCTACTGGTCCAAGGAGCAGAAGAGTGTTTTGCATGTGGGCACCAAAGGCACTTCGCAGTGCTTGTGTGTAGATCTACTGGTGCTCCTTGCCTTTGCTGTACTGCGTCTTGTGGCAGGTGAATATTCTCCATGCAATTTTTAATTCTGCAGGAGAGAGCTGACTTCCTTTTTGCTAATTTAAGATGTCAAATGAGCATTTCCCTCTCAGAGGGAGAGAGTTTTGTCCAGTTACATACTATGCAGTCTAAATAGCTTCACTCTAAAATAGGCTCCCTTGCTATAGTTTTCTAGGGCCGTAACATTATGTGAAATGGATTCTTCATATCACATGCTTTCTCTGTGTTGCCTCTTTTTTCTAGATTTGACTTTTGTGACAGGTTCTCATGTGGGTGAATTAATAGTCTGGGATGCACTTGACTGGACAAAGCAAGCATCCGAGTGCAACTTTTGGGACACCTCTCTCCATAACGATGCACAGCCAGAAATAAAGTTATCCCAAAGCCCAAATGAAACTTCAGTTCAACACTTAACATCTGATGAGGAGGTAAAAAGCTTTAAACAGAGACTACTCTGAGCAAACCTGCATGACCTAATCATAAAACACTGAGTGTTTTCACTTTGTATTTTCAATTTGGTTGTGGCGGTAACTAATGTGCATAACTATTTTAATACAGTCAGGGTTTTTCACTTAAAATCCTGGTCATTGAGCCAAATCAAGGTTATAATAAGTTGATGGTCTGAGAGCTAATGTAATGGACTGTCACAACAGCATTTCTTTCGACTGATAAAAGAAGATGTATCATTTGTTTACAGTATCCCTGGAAAATTATTAGCAAGAGGTGTGTGTTTTGATAGCATACATCTTATTCCATGTTTCTGGAATTGCAGTTTCCAAAATATGCCCCTCTTGGACAGTTACAGCTGAGGGCACTATAAAATGAATTAAACAGTAGGCATGTTTACAGTCTGTGCACAGCAGTAAATAAATACTGCTGCTTCTGTTCAGACAGCCTCGATCAGTCCACTTAATTGTAAAGAGCACAAAGATGGGCCCAAAATGCAGGGTCTGCTGTAATTGTATCTTGGAGACAATCCAGGAGTGCTTGGTCGCAGTATTTAGGCAGAACCCAGTTGTTGTTCTGGAAACATTGGGACTCCTCAAGTTATTTACTTCTGTGAAATGTTACCTACTGTTTGTGGTGAGAAGGTGCTTTGCTGCTGGGGCACAGTGACATTCTGTTCTGGAGCCTGTAGGTGCATTGCTGGGGAATGATTAAGAGATTCCTGGAAATATATTCAGTGATGGGAGCTATATACTAAGAAAGAGTGCTGAGGAGTGCGTTTGCTGCCCTGGTAGAAGTATAGGTGTTTTTGTGCTGGTCTATTAAGATCCATGTGCAACTCACGTTTCAGCACCCGTTATTTTCTAAGGGCTTGAGAAAACCAGGGCTTTGACAGGTTGTGTAAATGAAAGTGTAATCTGTGAAGAGGACCTTTTGCAGAACAGTTGTGCTGTGTAAAACTTAGCCTGTCTCAAGGTGGAAGGTAGGAAGGTTGATGAAAGGTAATGTCTGATTGATTGATGTGTGATTGAACTGACCCTCACACAAAAATTGGGAAAATAATAAAACAGGTTTACTGTTTTTTCCTTTGTTGAGGGAGTGATATTTGAAATCTGAGCTGAATTTCAGCACTATCAAAGCTCCCATCACAGATGTACATAAAAAATGAGAACTTGGACAAAGAGAGTGAAACTGGCATCTATCAAAACATTATTGTATACACAAATGAAGTTTTAGCCAAAAAGACAGGATTAGTCAACACTGGTTCTACAGAGTGCTGATAGGTGTGCAGTGTGAACTGCTTATGTGCCATTAATATTGGAGCTGAACAGATGGAAGCAGGGACATTCAGGGAAAAGATCCAGCATGTAATCACCTAAACAAGGTATGTCCAAAAAAAACCCCAAAATGTAGTGAATGGGAGTGTTTTGAACTCCTGTATTTAGTACAAAATATTTATCATGTACACTGATCATACACTAGAATATTGCTTTAGTATGAGAATATAGATATTACTTGCAGAAACTTATTTTTTGCTATCCTTAGTTTACTCTTAGATACAGGGAAAAATATAAAGATGAAACAACTGTGTGGAGTGTAGCGGAGTACCTGTTGGTGCCTGAACACCCATGCTTTTTCTGTGACTTGCTGTTTCCATATGTGTAGGGTAAAGCAGTAGCATAAAGGCAGAAAAAGGCCGGATAACGATGGCTAGGTAATGTCTCATAGCACCACTGGAAAACAATTACTGGCAGGGTGATATTTCAGTGTCTGGTTCTGTAAGTTATTCCATTGAATTTGCTTTCCAGTGTGTGTTTACTGCTGTTGGGAAATGCATATACGTATATAATCTTCAAATGAAGCATGTGATTGCCTACCAGAAAACTGCTCATGACTCCTCTGTACTGCACATTGCAAAACTTCCAAACAGGTACGAGTTATGTTACATTTTGTAATGCAGTGAAGAAATGCAGGACTTGGAAGTGTGAGAGACGGTCTGCAGAGTAGCATGTCATTTCTAGTCTTGATCTTTAGTTTGATCTGCTTGTATTATAGCTTGTTTAAGCTCATTTTTGAAAATACATTGTAACTCAATATGAAATAACATAATACAGTGTGTCTGATGCAGAAGTTCATAGTAAAATAATTTTCCTATTTTCAAAAATCAGGCTTAGTAAAACACTCTTGTCTACACTGTGAAAATATAGCTTAATGGCATTTTACTTTTATAAAGCAACACCAATGGCAGATTCATAAAATATTTTTCACTAAGCATTTCTGAAGAGTCAAAATGTATTAATGGAAAACAATAACTTCCAGTCCTTTTTCATTAGTGCCAGATTTCTGTCTGGAACTTATTTTTGACAGCCAAGATACAAATTCATCAAAATAAAATTGCCAACTTGCTATGTAAATAAAATCTAACAGTTGCAATGTTAGGCCCCTTTATACTTAAAATGGGATTGAAACCGCTTATTTTTCCCCCCCACTTATTTTCCAAGTCCATTATAATTTCTCATGCTACAAATACAGCTCGTTTTATATGGAGAATCTGGGCATCCTGCTACATTTTAAGAGTTGAAGTTGTGAAGTTGGAGTTGGGTAGAACGTGAGGCTCTTGCTGTGCTCTCACAGAAACATCACAGGGTGAGCTGCGTTGGTGAGTATCCATCTGAGCTGGTGCTGCTTGTTACCTTTTCTGACAGGCAGCTGATGTTCTGCTCGGAGGATGGTAGTGTTCGCATTTGGGAGCTCTGGAAAAAGGAGCAGCTGCCAGCGGAGCCAGTTCCAACAGGTTTGCCCAGCACGGTGCTAGTGGGACATCTATAAAGCATAGAGAACTCGGTGCTTAGGGCTGGAAAGGCCTGCGGGCTTTTTCCAGAAGAGTTCTTGTGTTGTGTTAGACCAAACGTTGCAGGAGTAGGTGGGGAAATAAAAAAGTATGTTGGGCGTACAGGCGCTCCAGGTCTGATTTGGGAACCAGTTGTGTGCCCTAAAGCTGATCAGCTGGTCTAACAAAAATTACTACTTTTCTCTACAAACCTTAGTCTACTTGCATACTGGTAGTGCCAGTGCTAGTGCAGCCAGGATACTTGAGCATGCAGGAATAAATGGCTAAGAACTTTTGAAGAAAACTAAAGACAAGGCTGAAAATGAGTGGTTGGCACAGAAAAACAGGTTTTCCACATCTTCTCCCTGAGCGTGGGCTAACACTGGGACTCTCATTGAGGCTCTGCCCAGCCTTACATACAGGCTCTGCAGTGCTTGCTGCTAGGGGTTTGTGACTTGGGCTATGGTTTTGCTGGCAGGACCTGCTCCTTCTCACTAGCCCAGCAGCTGTTCTGCCACCTGCAGTGTCCTGGACAGCATCCTCAGAGCCACCCGTACTGTCTGACTGGGAACAGACATGGGCTGTTACACACACTGAGATGTGTACAACTTTCTGGCTGCATTTAGTCTGTCTGGCTGCTCATCAGCAGATAGTAACTTTTGCAGGGATCTTGTCTAATGTAAGTGTTTTTGCAAATCATTTTTTACTCTCTGGGTTTGACTCCTCTGTGTAATTACTCATCTCTGAGGTACCATGGTCTTGCACGCCTCGGTGTGTGTGCTGAGGGGCAAGGTAGAGCCAGCAGGAAGCTCTGGGGTGCAGTGTGTCCTGCTCACAGCTTCCTACTTCTGTGGCTGCTGTTACCCAGCTTTTGTGGAGGGCGCTTGGGCACAGATGTGTCTGTGTACCACAGCCCTAGTGGCGCATGCAGGAGGTTATTGTATTTACACTGCAAGCTGGGAGATGGTTTTAAATCTGAAAGTCAGGGGACAGTATAAAAACAAGGATTTGGCACCAGAAACTTGTTACCCGTAAGCCAGCATTCTAATGCATTAGTGCAGGACACAGTCAGTTCAGGCAGACAGAGCAAAGGCAAACATCACTTGTACCTACTTTTGCTGCTTATTTATTTCATTTAGACAATTCCTGGCTTTCTTACTAAATCCATGTCTTGTGCCATCCAGGTAGGTCATTCAACACATTCGCCCTATTGCGTTTAGTAAGGACAAGGAACAAAATAGGTAATTTTCCCTTGCCCCTTGGGATGAATAATCCAGCTGTAGAAATGCTGCATAGTAAAATCTTTTATCATTTCACCCTACTGCCTATCCTGCTTTTTGAGTTAAGTGACTTTCATAGTTCTCTTTTTAGCTAAAAAGAGATTGTATTTGTGAATATTGCCAAAATAAAAGAAAGGATCTACCTTTTTATTTTTATTTTTATTTTTATTTTTATTTTTATTTTTATTTTTATTTTTATTTTTATTTTTTTACAATCCAGGGTTTTTCAGCATGTGGGGATTTGGAAGGGCAAGCAAGCAGGCAAACCAAGCTGCTAAGAAGACCCAGGAGAACATAACTATGTATTTCTTGGAGCTGGTTGGTGATTTGATTGGTCATTCATCAGCCGTGCAGGTAGGTCAGCTTTATAAGAACAAGAAAATGCGAGTAGCCCTTGGTAATGTAATTTTGAAAGTGTTTCTTCTTAAACAGCTGTAATGGTGACTTTGTGGCTCTGGAGGCTGGGAATATGTTTATCACACTACAGAGTTGTGTGGGAGGCCTGAGCTTCAGGCCCTTCTAAATTCACAAAAAATGCTTAATGACCAACAATAATGCTTTGATAGCGTGATATATTTAGCCCAATGTGAAAAGAATAACATACAGTGACTGAAAGTCCTCATTGAGCTTGAGCAGTGACTGATACCTGAGGTTTGTATGCATAGATACACGTCAGTGCTATAGAAAATTGGGTTGTACATTGGATTTTTTTGCAGTCTACAAACAGTATGTGTTGCAGTGTTGCACAGCTGCTGTTCAACTTCAAATGGAAATATTTCAGATGTTTGTTTCAGTTCATGCATTTGTTTAGTCCAGCTGTAATCTGCACTTTAAGCAAGGTTTTTATTTTTGTTTTTTCAGATGTTCCTGTACTTTGGTGACCTAGGACTGGCTACGTGTTACCTAGGACTGACTACGTGTTCTGCTGACCATCTCATTATTTTGTGGAAGGATGGCAAACGGGAATCTAGACTCCACAGTGTAACATTATTTCAGAAATTGGCACAAAATGGTGGTTCACAAATCAAATTCTAAGTTACTTGAATACAGGGTAAATGTACATAAATTGAATCTGCATTAAATGTGAGTGTAAAGCAAAGTCTGAACTACTAGAAAGTGACTATCATTAAAGTTTACATTAATGTCATATGTTAAATTATATTGTTAAATTATATTTTTGTTAGTTGCTGCTATTCTTCTCAAAGGAGAAATGTGTAATATTTTGAATTACTTGGCTTTTTCTGTAAATAGAAATGGTGTTCTCTTAAACCACTGAAGATAGTAATGACAAATAGCTTTTAGTATTATTTTTAATGTTTAAAAACACTGGATGATTATAGAAAATCAGAGTTGTTAACTGCCTTAGATGGATCATAACTAAGGAATTTTGGGAGCATTCCAGAGTTCTGTGCAGAAGGGAGGAATGGAAGCAAAGCTGAGGCTTCCTGCTTTATGTAATTTATTTCATAAAGCTAGGTTTTAGTCACCGATTGCGCAGACAAATATCTACAAAAAACAAGGCTGTTCTCCATTAGTTTTAATGTTGGCAATAGAAGTTGCTGTCCTGTCCCAAAGGAAATGTGGGCAGTTTCAGGTTGGCAGGCTTTGGTTTTGGTAAAATGTAGATGCTGATAGTTTGCAGCAGGTGCAGTTTTGCTGTGAGGTAATCGACAGTAGAGCTTAGAATCATAGAATGCTTAAGGTTGGAAGGGACCTCTAGAGGTCATCTAGTCCAACCCCTCTGCACACGCACGTACGTAGCACCATCATTATGTCTGGCATGAAGTGTGATTGGTTTAGTTTACTCTTTCTATAGTGCATTCAGCTAATTGATTTGTCTCTAATTTAAAAAATGGAGATGGAGATATAGTTAAATTCCCCTCTCCTTCCTTATCAGGAAGGAATTCAGCTTTTAAGCTTGAACTCAAGGTAGCTGTAAGACTGACACAGGAAAGAAGTTTGAATTAAAGCTGGTGATGATAGCATTCTGTGTGATATGTTGTATTGAACAGGAAGGGCTGCACGTTAATTCCTCCAGCTGAAACAATGTTTTAGCTGCAAGCCGGTGTGTAGCAGCAAGCACTGCATTTCTAGCTACTGTGTGCAGGTCCAACCTCAGGGAGACCACGTTCTCTCTGGCTCTTCTTTCTTCTTTCAAGTGAAGAATAACTGTTTAGTTGTATATGAAGTGTGTGTGTGTGTGTGTGTGTGTGTGTATTGTTACTACAACTTTACAGAGAAAGCTTGTAAAACACACTTTTTTTTTCCTGGAGATAGATGCTATCATCGATTATAACTAAAGAGAAGGAACATTATCTTTTTATTATCTGTTTTTCCTGTACCATGAAAACAACTATTTCATTTTTATGTGAGAGCTTTTAAGTGAATACTTGGTAGAGAAACAGATCTATTCACAAAACTCATTGTGCATTTTACAGGGATGTAATTCAGCCTTAAATATTCCTACATGCTTAAAATATATTTACATCTATCAAAAGTGCCATTGTTCTTAAGATACACTTGGTTGGCAATAGATCTCCCAAGGGTCTCTTTCTTTAAACATGGTTGAGTTAGAAGTATTAAAGAAGTTTTATACATGAACTTTGAGCATAACAATGAAGACAGTAAGGCTATATTAACCAACTCACTTTTTAAATAAGATTTTTTTTTTCACTTGCTGTTGAGAAATTCAGTAAGAAGAATTAGGGTGACTGGGTTAGAAATGTCCAGCTAGTGTCCTTTTAGATTTTATTTTTCAGCTTGTATTACATTTCTATATCTTCAGCTCACAAAGGTATCGCACTTATCCTTACTATTTATGCCCACCTGAAGAAGCTGTTTTAATACCTGCAGTGAAAACCACAGGAAAGAGCTAGCTGATAGTCAAGTAGACAGGTTGGAGTCCAGAAAACTTGGCAAAAACTCAGACATGAAAATTAATCTGTGCTGATTCTTCTGATCTTAAAGAAGCTTGGACTTTGGTTTTGCCTAGTCTTTGTCTGGAGGAAGAAACAGGAGCATCTTGCACAAATATAATGATTTCATGTTAAAGCCTTAGCTCATGAACCAGAACTGAGGCTGAAGTTTATTTCTTAGGTTCCTTCCACCAGTAACATTTCCCTTTGCGTGTTAGAAATGTGACCAAATAACAAACCAAAGTGCTTTACATGGTTGTGGTCTTACACTGATGCTATATTTAAATGAAATTAAGATGACAAAGCTTTGAAAGTTTGCAAAATTCTTTTTCTCTAATGCAAGCTGCATTAGGGTATTCATCATTATCATCATCATTGTGATTATTCATCACAATCATTAGGGTATTAGAGACAACCATTAAGAGCACTAGTTCTAAATAAATGAATGATAAAAGCAAGCAGTTCATGGTAACAAAAAAAAAAAAGTGTTCCATCTTAACTAAATAAAAATCCATTGATAAATGTTGGAATACATATTAAGAAATAATATAGGTACCAAAACCACCATTCTTCAAATATACACAATGCAGCATTTTAATACACAGCAACCTGCCTTACTTTTGTCATAGCTAAGGTTCTATTACAAGTCTAACAAAAATATAGCTTATATACATTTCTCTGCACATACATTTTTATGAATGTTTCTTTTTTTCCAGGAATTTGGTACAAAACATAGAGGGGGGGGGGGAAGTTGAAGTTGGCACATTATGTAAGCTACCTGCAGGGAACAGCAGTCCCTCTCCCTTATCTTCCACAGGCATCTATGTCTGTTTTGTTTCTGTACTTTGTTCTGTTCTTGCACAGCACGAGGAGGTAAAGAGGGCAGCTCAGGGCCTTTCCTGTTAGTTAAGGAGCTGGTCCATTCCTCACTGGAACCACAGCTTTGATACTCTCACCTGCAACCTGGAGGGCACAGTGTTAAAATCAACAGTTTTTCTAGTATTTAGTAACTGAAAAAACTGAGAATAGTTTAAAATTTGAACTCATGTTCATGTTCTGCATGTGATTAAAATGAGATGTACAAAAATATGCATTTGTGCTTTGGAAGCTTTAGCATAAATTTCATGTCAACTAATGAAAAACTATGTTCAGTTTCTAACTTATTTACATCTTTTGAAATACTTTTTACATCACAAAACAAAACAGCATTTTATTAGGAGGGAAAAAAGCAGTAGAAATTATAATGCTGTTATATGATTTATAACCTGGAAACACTTTTTAAAAAGCTACAGGGTCCTACTATAAGAAGCACAATACATGGCCTTGTCATAAAATTTATTTTGAATAAAACTGATGACCATGTGTATAAACATGGCTTTATAAAAAAGGATGTTGATCAATTCGTTGCCACAATGGTTTATATGTAAAAATCTGACAAAACTTTTTGCACAGTAACATATCTTAAGAAGGCAGATAAAAATACAAATGCCACCAATTATATAGAACATGTTTACTTTCTTCCATTATTTAAGTTAAATTGATTTCTAATACCAAGGTGTTATATGGAAAAGAGAGAACAGGTGGTGCTTTGACAGATTTATGTTTTGCCTCTGTAATAGAAAAAAAAAAAGAAAAAGAAATTTAATGGTGCACATTTTTAAGTATCTGATTTCTTGAGGGCTGCTGTGCATATTCTCTTTAGAACTATAGGCCAAAGATATGCAGAGGTGGAACAAATCTATGTTAGGTAAGTGGGAGGTTTTTATGCTTTTTTTTAGTCAACCTATTCTCATTCTACCAGTTAACAGATTACGCTTCCACTTGGGAAACAGCTGTATGAAGTGTTAGTGAATACAGTTCCAGCAGTTACAAGATTTGACTAATGCATATTCAGAAGTAAAAATTAGTTTTAAAAGTACCTTTTCTGCCAATAAATGACAGTTCCAGAGAGCTCTTACCCACCTCTGGATTACATACCCTTTATGAAAACATCTTTGTTGTAGAATTTAAGCAGCTTAAAAGTGATGGATAAAGTATTTCCTTTTTGCTGCAGTCTTTAGTTCACTTGAAAGGAAAACACCATTCCTTGTGTAGCCAAGTCAGTGATCAGTGAGACTAGTAGATCAAGCAGTCTATTTTTCTTGCCTTAATGTCAGTTGTTTTCTCATGGAAGCCTGAGACTCTTGCACTTCAACTCATCTAATGTTTTCCAGTGTTTATAGTTGTTAGCCAAGTTCTGCATCAGAACAGGCAGATGTGCAAATGCTGAAATGAACAGGGGGAAATGGTGGTACTAGTTACATAGAGAATGGGCAGAAGAACAGCGCAACCTTGCCTGGGTCTGAAATCCACATTTTTCTTATCTCTTCTGCTCTTTCAGTTGTCAGTTAATGCTAGAAGGGAAAATTCTATTCTTTTTTGCTCTGTTCCTTTTTAAACAAATCCCTTTCTTAAAGTATGGTGACTATGACTTCTAACACAAAACCACCATAATTCATTTTTCTGTTGTTCAAAAAAAATACTTTGTTAAAGGAAGAAAACAGGTGAAACACTTTTAAGCCACTGCTCC